GAGAAGGTGGAAACAATGACCAAGTCGGTTGTGGAGTTCGACACGCCGTTCCGTGAGTTGGGATTCCCTGGAGCTCCCTTCCGCAGCACGGTGACGCTGCAACCCACCTCGGGATCACTGGTCAATCTCACAGAATGGCCGCCATTCGTCATCACGCTGGACGATGTGGAGTTGGTGCACTTCGAGCGCGTTCAGTTCCATTTGCGTAACTTCGATATGATATTTGTGTTCAAGGAGTATAACAAAAAGGTGGCCATGGTGAACGCCATTCCCATGAACATGCTGGATCACGTGAAGGAGTGGCTCAAGTAGGTTTCGCTGCCCCTTTTTTAAAATGTACTTTTACTAACGAGTATCCCACAGCTCCTGCGACATTCGCTATTCGGAGGGCGTTCAATCCCTGAACTGGCAAAAGATCATGAAGACTATCACAGACGATCCGGAGGGATTCTTTGACCAAGGCGGCTGGACTTTCTTGGACCCGGAATCGGGCAGCGAAGGCGAAAACGAAACCGCCGAGTCCGAAGAGGATGAGGCCTATAATCCCACCGACGCTGAATCGGATGAGGAGTCGGACGAGGACTCCGAGTACTCAGAGGCATCAGAAGACAGCGAAGAAAGCGATGGTATGCACAAACCCAAGCTTCCCAAGCACAAGTTGTATTTCTTTTCATTGAAATTTGCAGAAGATCTTGGCTCTGATGAGGAATCTGGCAAGGATTGGTCCGATCTGGAGCGCGAGGCTGCTGAGGAAGACCGCAACCATGATTATGCCACAGATGACAAACCACGCAACGGCAAATTCGATTCCAAGAAGCACGGCAAGAGTTCAAAGCACAGGTATGAGCAGCGACCCCATGAAGAGTTACCTTATCCGAGATCTCCTTTCTCTTATCTATATCAATCGTTCTACCCCATGTTACGCCCAACACAGTCGCCGCGACCGCGAGGAGGCTCGATCGTCGACGCACAGTAAAAAGCACAAGTCGAACTCCTCCTCGTCCTCTTCGCATTTAAAGTCCTCCAGCTCCAAACATGGCAGCTCATCTAGGTTTGTTATCGAAAGCCCCGAACACCTAATACCCAACCATACGGCCTAACGCAAGTGCATTTCCCATATCATTTCACCCACAATCACACCACGGAAATTTCGTTTTAAATTTGATTTTCTTCTAAGCAATTGAACATTCTTAAGAAAAAAAATTATTTCATTGATTTTTTTTGTTAATTTATATTTTTATCAATTGATAAGTTACTTCTGGTGTTGGTTTGGCAAGTTTGATTAGGTGTACCCCAAATTCCGTTTGACTTTCGGTGTAATACAATCAGTATTTTGTTGTTTGGGTTTATGTCGAATTATTTATAATTGTTTAGTCTGGCAAAATTGATTTCAAAGAAACGAAAAGCATCACACCTTGCTTGCTCAAAATTGTAAAACCACAGAATAACTATTTGAGAATATTCATTTAAAACATTCGCAAACCCCTTCTATTATTTTAAAGCCCATCGAAATCGTCGAAGGACAAGTACCACAGCCGGGACAAGCATCATTCCTCCTCATCGTCCGGACACAAGAGCAGCAGCAAGGACAAGGATCGCAAGCGCTCGCGGGATGACAGTCGCGACAATGGCCACAAGTCGAAGAAGTCGCGTCATTAGAGGCAGCTGTTTCAAAGCCTGTGGGCCACTCCAGTCGTAATTAAACTATCCTGTTACCATTGTCTATCTGTTAAAGGACCCGCCACTCCGATCCCTGTCACTCATTTTTCACGCTTCAAAAGTTGTATTACAAATTAAATATAATACGATACATTTATATAATAAACTAATGTAAGAACTACATTACTCTACTTGTTCCAGCTGCCGAGTAGGTGTCGATAGGCGTGCACCTCCACCTCGCCGCTGTCGCGTCGGCGCCTTCGCCGTCCTCCACGCTGCTCCTGTTCCTGGTGCAGATGCGGATGAGCTTGGGGATGCTGGCGCGGACTTCCGGCGGCGGCCACACTTCCCCGCCTCTTGTGGGCATCAAACATGTTGCGGGTCTTGTTGATCGGATAGCGCATCTTGTTCTTCAGCCAGGTGGTGAAGGCTCGCTCGTTGTCCTGCATCTTCTTCAGCTCCTGCTCGTTGCGATTGATGGTCTGCTCCATGGAGAAGCGCTGCTTCCGCCGCAGTTGCTGGTCCCGTCGCTGCAGTTGCTGGGCAGTCAGTCCGTACTCGGACATGTAGCCCGTGTACCTTGGTAGCTTGCCCTGAATTGAATGGCGGTGCTCGCAGCAGATCTTATAGTTCATCCGCACGGACGGAGATGTCGTGGAAGCGGAGGCAGAGGCAGAGGATGGCGTCGGCGTGGGTTTGGCCCGACGGCGAAAGCTAAAACTGCGCGAAGTGAAGAAGGTCTTGGAAGCGGCCTTGGGACATGTGGTGCAGGATTCCTTGACTTCATCGGGCTCCTCCTTCTTGTAGTAAATGCTCTGCTCGTTGAGCTCAAAGTCATCTGGAATATAGCTGGCCACAATGATGGACAGGTCATCCTCCTCTTCGACTTCAACTGGAGCCACCACTGGCGCCGGCACAGGTACTTCAGTTTCGGCTCCCGTCAACCTGTCAATGGTTGCCTGCTGCTTTGGATCCAAAGTCTTGTAAAGATTCTTGTAGGCATCCCTTAGTTTCTGGCGCGCCTCATTCAAGGTGCGCTCCTCCTCCTCGCAGTCGGATTCGGTTAGCAGATTGGTAAGACTCTTCTGATCGGAGTCATCCTGGTCGAAAGTGCTCTGTCTCAGTTGGAGTGAGCCAGGAACAGAAGGATCCTTAGCCGGAGGATCGTCATCCAGGTCTGCCTCATCCACGCCGGAGAAGTCGTCTTCATCGTCTATGGGAGTGGCTTCCTGGACCACGGGCTGTTGGGGCACCTCACTCAAGTCCACGATTTCTTCGCATATCTCCTCCTCCACTTCATCGACTTCTGGTTCTTCCATCGGCGGCGGTGCCTCTGCTACCTTAGACACTTCTGGAGCCGCTGGTTCTTCCTCTGCAATGGGCTTCAGCTTCAGCTGCGTCAACTGCTGCAGCAGCTCATCAGGCGGACTGGGACTGAGCTCCTTCTGCTGCTCCGTGGGCTCGTAATCTTCCAGATTCAGGGCAAACTTCACCTTGGTCACTTTGCCGTTGCCATTGGAAGCCTCGTCGTCCAGCGCAAATAGCTCCTTGTTGGCCTCCTTGATCCTGTCCACAATGTTGTACTCGTTGACCGGCTTCAGGACTGCGGAATAATCCATGAGTAAGGACATGCTGCTACTGCCAACTTACAGGGAACGACTTACAATAGACCTCGCAGTCCTCGTCCGACTCCGGCTCGCGTTCGCCCATCTCTGCCAGCTGCGGGCACATCGATTGCCTTTGAGTGCCGGGATATTTTTAGACCTTTAGCTTTTCGCGCTGCGATTTACGACCATTCACCAGCTGGAAAGTTCGCCAAAACTTTCCATTTCGTGTCGAGCTGCTTTTCCGCACCCATCCAAGACTAATGAACTTGGATGTGCACTCCAGACATTAGCGGCTTCACCTCGCTCCCTTGCGGTTATGGCCTGCCATCCAGGTCTCAATGGCGCCCGTTGCCAGGCCACTGGGATGTCCTGTGTTTGATCGATGCCCGGTGACAAATTGTCTCTTTGCGGAAGAGAGGCGGGCTCTGACATGGAATTGGATTCAGCTTTGGCTTTCTGGACTCCGCTTAAATGTACCTCAGTGGATTGAGTAAGTCTAATGTACTATAATTAACATATAGGTATAATATATCGTCATTCTTGGCAGATGAGGCATAGTAACTATCCATTCCTACACGGTTACCAAACGATAAGGCACAAGGCGAGGTATTTGTTGTACCTGAGGAAGATAAAGAAGGTGTACAGGTACATCCCCGAAGAAACCCAACTCTGTCGGGGGCTGATCCCTTGATTCCTTGATGGGGGTGGGTTAATCAACAAACATGGTTTGGCGCTTAATTTCCATGCACTTTATTCCATTTCCACACTTACTTCGCTAAGCACATTTAAAGCTTAATCATCAACGGTCGAACCGAGGCGAAACAAATCGATTCGGGTCAATTCGAATCGAACTGAGTGGAATCGAGGCAACAATTATTTAAATACAATTCAAATAAGTTCAAAGCTACAAAAATAATCGATTCGGGGAGGCGCACAACACCAATATAAGTAAACCTAGTAGAGCCGTCGTTAACTTCGTATATTGAGCAAATATCTATGCTATTCCATTGCCGATTTGATTGTTTCTAACGTTTCACTTCATCTCATTTACATCGCCATTAGCCGAGCCAACCGATTCCATTTGACCAAGAGGAGTTTGGGCCTGGGTTGGAGCTAGAGTTGGCAGTGGACATTGCGTTTCATGACCGTATGACGGGGGCCAAGTGGAGTGGTAAGGGAATGGGAATAGCTTGTAAGCAAATTTATAAATATACAAAGATTTAATTGAATAAGGAAAATACCAGTTAATGAAATTGATTGAAATTCAGTTGAGTACAAAATAATCTCAGGAAAGTTATTCAAATGGGCCGTATCTTGCTTGTCTTACAGCCTTGAAACGCGCCGTCGCTTTGAGGGTGAACTTGATAATGATGGAGTCTGATACAGTTCAATGGGCATGCCGCAAAAGAAAGATAAAATTTATCGCTCATTTTTAGCTGCGTTAGCAAAAGAAATCAATTCCCAGAAGAGTGCTAAAAAGTAAAGAGAAAAGAAGAAGCAATTAAACACGTCCAAAAAACAAAAAACGGTTGATAAAATATAATCATATCTATAAATGCCGCGGCATTAAGTATACTCCCAAATAATAGGAACGAACTAAAATGTTCAAAAATAATATTTTTAATTCAAATAAAAACCAACATTTAATGGGAAAATACATACAAAAGTCACAAAATTACATCTAGAAATGAGGTTTCGTGTAAATTTCGAAAAAAAAGAGTCCTGTATTAGCCATAAATTGTGTAATTTAAGTAAATTTATTGTATCTTTTCGATTGTTTGCTTTCTTGTTATGTTTCTGCGTGTAATATTAACTTTCGTTTAATACAACCATATTCAGCATTTCTTAAAAAGAAATTATACGACATTAACAACTAAGCGGCTGATGAGGTGTGTGTGATTAGTTGTCAGAAATGTGGGTGAGTGTGAGATGTAATTTCATTAGAGGACGGGGTTAAAGGTCAGCGGAAAAGAGACGCGTCATCACTATAGCTATAAAAGAACGTATTGCAATATCGGCGCATCGTCTTACATCACTAATAGCTTGGTATTATCATGGTTGCTCGAGGAATCCTCGCTGCATTTGATTAGGTTTTAACATAATCATAATCATAATTCGACGTTGACTAAAGTCTAGATCTAGTTCTTTAAGGCGCATCCCTGGACAGACGCTCACTAATCATATACATAGATTCGTGGGTGTACGGTTGTTAATCTTTTTAGTTTCTTGAGTGTAGGTTTTGAAAATCGTAAAACATTTTCGCACGCCTTCCAGCGTTTTTGGTGCAATTAAATTTCAATAAATTACAATTATATATAGTATACGTTATAACTCTAGCGCTTCCTCAACATGTTAGCATCATATACAAAGTCTTTCGTTTGTTTTTTCTCTTTTGTTTAAATAAATTTCGAGTGTACGTATGAATGTTTTGCTTTTCTTTTGGGTTTGGTTTGGAGGGGCATACAAAACACTTTACCGAGTACATAATAGAAAATATTGTAAAATATATAATCTATATATTGCTAGAATTCGGTTCGGGTTTTCGGGAGGGATCTTTGTCTAATCGAAATTTTTGCCGCTAAACACAAAAAGTACGTTACACAAACCGAGCCTGGGGTTAAATACGATTACAATGTAGAAAATACATGTATAAACAAACACAGATTTATATTTATAGATGGGGCTTCTCCCACTCTCCGTCCGTGGATCAACCAGCTCAACTGCCCGGATGTCCGCTTATGTGAACAGCGGCAGGTGATAGAAGTCGAACCCTCGATATCCTTTGGCTGCCAGCCAGATGTACACGACGTGATAGGCCCCGGGTATGAAGCAGATGAGTCCGGCCACGAAGAACACGACTCCCTGCGACGTGTTCTGCGGATCCGCGATGGCGAAGGTGCCCATCACAAAGAGGCCCGTGCCCACGACCAGGAGCGTGAAGGCGGCCAGCACTGTGCGCCAGTTCTCACGCACCTTGGGATGCCGCCAGCAGTATGTGTTGGTCTCCTCCGTGGGCAGGTTGCCGTACTCCTGGATGAGCGAGTCACTGTCCCGAGAGGTTGTGTCCTCGGCATACTTGTTGTAGCCCCTGGAGAGACAGAAGTGGGGAAGCGGTTGAAAGAAGGTGCGTTTAATAGCCTTGGGTGCTGTATAATTAAAGCCGGTTTTGAACGCCGATTTGTTGACCCATTTACTTCAAGACTCGCTTAACTTGGGGAAAAGGGTTTCTGCAAAACTCTGTTTTCTTGGTATAAATATCCTCAAATACCCTAAGTTATAGCCTAAGCCCTCATAAGCACATTTATCTATGAAATAAAACCATTAAAGTAAAAAAGAGAAACAGCCAAAGTCCCTGAGTTTGAGAGAAGATAAAGCATAATCAGATATAATAAACACACAATTTAAATACATTGAACAGCATTTTTCAAGAGGCTTTTAAGATTATCTTACGATTGCCTACAGAACACCGTGATTACTTGGCTTCTTTTAAAACAGGTTTTGTGGTTTATCGCGGTTTGATGATGATTTTGTTAGATTTGGTCATATCTAGCTAAGATAAAAGCCCAAATGCCTGACAACACTTTTACTTGAGCTGTATCCGAGGCTCAGGCGCCAAATAGGCCTTTCAACTTTGTAAAATATGGACTTTAAGACACTTATCAACCCACTTGAGGGGTTATCGCGGGGTTGGATTGCCGCCAAAGGCGAGGCGCAATCAGTTTCGCGTTTACCACTCGTTTATATTGGCAAGAGAAGCCCGACAAGTGCAAACGGCGATGAGCTGGTGGCTGGTTTCGGCTTGCTGGGCTGGCCAACTGGTTCCAGCTGACCGCAGGCGAAGGCCACCCCCTCCTCCTCTTGATCCCCGCGAGAAACAGCGGAGACCCTTCTGACGAAACTTATGCGCAATGATTTTAACAATTGAATGCCAAATTAGGCTGGACGTCTGCATTTATAATCTCCATAATTACACGTCGTTTCTGTAGTTGCGACACGCCATGCATGGCTAATGGGATGGTAAGAAGGCATGGTATCCATCACGCACGCGCCGCTCGGCTAACTTATTCAGGTGCTTCCGGCGGGAATAAGGAAGTGGGCAGCTCACAGAACACCAGATGACCAGCTGGCCAAACGTACAAGTGTACGACGATGTAGATATAGTATAAACACAACAATAACCGGAATCACAGTCACAATGAGAATGGAAATGGGAATGGAACTCCTTGTTTGGCACACAGCGGCGGCGGGGGAAAATGGTGCCAATAATCGCTGCCCACGCAGGCAGATCAAAGACCTGTTTTCACCAGAGAACGAGCCTAGCCCACTCACTTGGGATCCTGAATCCGAATGGAGACGTCTTCGGTGGAGCGACCTTGCTTGCCTCTCATAGGCGTGGATATCACGGTGGAGCCATAGACGCGTATCGCCTCGTCGGTCTCCTCCTCGAAGGCGTCGTGAATGGAAAAGCCCCTGGCCCCGTTGTTGTACATGTTTCCTTGGATTGGACTGGATTCTGCTTTTTCTCTGCCCGTTGTTTAATAATAAACGAGTGCGCTGGAGATTCGGATACGGTCTGCCAACGTTGGCTCCCAGCACAGCGGAAATCGGGGGAAATGCGGCTCCGACTTAGTGCTGCCCCGCCTGCATTTTCGCGCACTCCGTATTCGCAATGTTTTGCACGCTTTTCTGCGCCCGTAACCGTTGAAAAACTGTTTTTCTTTTCACATTAAAACGCGACACAAAGCAAAAAATATTCAGACTCGCAGCAGTGTGACCGTTCCGCGGGGGTGGTTAAATATTGTGTGGGGGTGGCTGCTGGTCTGTTTGGTATATTTAGGCATACATCACTGTTCACACAAGGCCGCATCATGAACATTTAAACGATTTCACACTTCCAATAATTGTTCTTCCTTTTGAGCCTGCAACGTATTTGCAACCTGTGTTATTTAAAAAAAACTATTATTTTCACATGCCATTGGATTGATAAGTCAAGCAAATCAGAATAGTTTGATACTCACTTGTGAAAATACATACCTACCAGTAGTCGTCGACCATTAAAATACCTTAGTCGCCGCAAAATACCAAACTTCCGAAAAGGCAGCCACACCTGTACGAACCTCTAATATTTTTGATGAAATTCTGACCTTTCTCCGTAAATTGTGAAATACAGAGTCCTCCAAGATGTCGCGGCACAGGATAGTGCGCACCATGGACTACAACGATGAGTACGACGGGTACGACGACATCTACGGGCACTCCGTTGAGGACGAGCACTGCATCTCGCCCACGGATGCCCAGCAGTGGCTCTACGATCGTGCTCGTGGCCAGCAGAGCATCTCTGCGTTCATCAGCAAGAACAAGGACATCCAGGAGGAGGAGGCCGACGAGGAGGAGGACGCCGCCTTCGAGAAGGCGCGTCGTGACTCCGAGAGTTTCCAGATGCCACAGCTGGACGAGATCGAGCAGGCCAAGCTGAGCTCCTGCGTGGATGAGGTGCGCAGTGTGGTGGGCGATGCCGTCTCGGAGCGCCGCATTGTGGAAACCTCCATGAAATTCGACTACGACATGCAAAAGATCCTAGACGAAATCCTCAATGAAGAGACCAAGAAGTCTGCTAAGCCGTCTGTGAATAGGATGAAAGCGCCAGCTGCTCCTGTGCTGCCTAAAACCGTCAGCAAAACGGTGGCTACGCCGCCACCCAAGATCAGCCTTAAGGAGCCGCGCCGAGGTTTCGAAATACCCTCGCCCAAGGTGCCCTCATCGCCTGTGGTCTCGGGCAGGAACACACCCGTTGACATCAGCGGCGACGACATCTCCCGCAGCTCGGCGACCCTTTTCAAGGTCTCCAAGGAGCAGGCCGTGCGCAACGCCCGCCAGCTGTACGAGAAAGAACGAGCCGACCAGAAAAGCCACATCCACATGATCGTCATCGGGCACGTGGACGCCGGGAAGAGCACGCTGATGGGTCATCTATTGTACGACACCGGAAACGTTTCACAGCGCGTGATGCACAAGCACGAGCAGGAGTCCAAGAAGCTGGGCAAGCAGAGCTTCATGTACGCCTGGGTGCTGGACGAGACGGGCGAGGAGCGGACCCGCGGCATCACCATGGACGTGGGCCAGTCGCGTATCGAGACCAAGACCAAGATCGTCACACTGCTGGATGCTCCGGGACACAAGGACTTCATTCCGAACATGATATCCGGTGCCACACAAGCGGATGTAGCCCTTCTGGTGGTGGATGCTACGAGGGGAGAGTTTGAATCCGGCTTTGAGCTAGGCGGACAGACAAGAGAGCACGCCATCCTAGTGCGATCCCTGGGGGTTAATCAACTAGGCGTGGTGATCAACAAGCTGGACACCGTTGGCTGGTCACAGGAGCGATTCACAGAGATTGTGACAAAGCTAAAGTCTTTCCTCAAGCTGGCTGGCTTTAAGGAGTCCGATGTGAGTTTTACGCCCTGCTCCGGACTTACCGGCGAGAATCTCACCAAGAAAGCCCAGGAACCCGCCTTGACCAGCTGGTACAGTGGACCACACTTGCTGGATGTCATAGAGAACTTCAAGGTCCCCGAAAGAGCCATCGACAGACCGCTGCGGATGTCCGTGTCGGACATTTACAAGGGCACTGGCTCCGGATTCTGCATTTCGGGGCGAGTGGAGACCGGAGTGCTGTGCCTGAACGACAAGGTGCTCGTGGGCGCCAGCCGGGAGCAGGCTCAAGTAAAATCCCTCACCATGAACGAATTCCCGCAGACTAGCGTTTTCGCCGGCGATCAGGTCTCCGTAACCCTGCCCGCCTTAGACATCAACAACGTCACCGTTGGCTGCATCATCAGCGATCCACAGACACCCATTCCGGTGACAACGCGATTCCAGGCCCGCATCATCGTGTTCAACGTCAAGGTGCCCATAACCATGGGCTTCCCCGTGCTGCTGCACCACCAATCCCTAATAGAGCCCGCCGTGGTCTGCAAGCTGACGGCATCGATTCACAAGAGCACCGGCGAGGTGGTCAAGAAGAAGCCGCGTTGCCTGGGTAACAACTCCTGTGCCCTGGTGGAACTGGAAACCAGCAGACCCATCTGCATCGAGCGGTATGCGGACTTCAAAGAGCTGGGACGCGTGATGCTGCGGGTGGCGGGCGTCACCATTGCCGCTGGGATGGTCACCAAAATCCGCTAGGTCAACGGCCGCGCTAAATTTTGTACGAAATTTTAGTTAGATATTAACTTTTGTTGTTTTGCTAAATATACACACATAGTTTATATAAATTGATTAAATCAAAAAGACGCTGAAGCAGTGGAATTGACACGGAAGATTTAAGTCTGTTCATTTAAAGAAGGAAACTATTCTGAAGTTGAATGACAATTGGTTCTCTTAAACTTATTTCATTAAGTTGCATGCATATTAGTGCATTTTCATGGAATTAATCACTTATAATTGTAATTTTTTTAATCAGAGTTGTTTACTTGTAATAAATTATATGATTCAAATATGTATATAGAAAAGGGGAATAATGCGGATGACTAAATCATAATCAGCAATTCATGAGAAATCAAATATTTGAATTTTGGTTGTCGAACTATCAGCAACACAGGTTATATTCGTTTTAAAGATGCTATAACAATTAAAATGTAATGGTAGAATACAATTTCAAAATGAAATCGTTTTAACGAGCTTTAAATTTAAAAAAAATGCAAATTTAGTATTTCCTACATTTTTTTGTCCAATACTGAGGAAAATGAAATATATTTTTAAAGACTAAATTTGTATAATTTGAAATGGTTTTAAGTGTCATCTCTAAGCCATCGCGATAGTTTGGGTACATCGGCTTGCAAGTGCCGATAGTGCCATCGATGCTTTGACAGCCCTAGTCTGTGAGTGTTCGCTGTTCGCTGAGGGCGAATATAAAAGAAATAAAAAAAATAAAGAAATTAAGAGACAAAGTCGTGTTAAATAAAAAGTGCAGCGATTCGCGAGCGGCGACAGGTGAAGCGGTCCCCAAAGAGCAAGCAGTTAGCGGCAGCGAGTGAAAAGCACAGGTAAAACTCCGCCCAGAGTTGCCCTGCCGCCCGACATGCGGGTGCATTTGCGTGGTGCAGTGGGCATTCGGCTGGCCGATGTACGCACATGGGTCATTAGTGTGCAATTTAAGTGCATTTAAGTGAGAGAGCCCAGTGAAATGAAAGGGAATCTCCGGCTTGAGACGTTGCAGTAGGTTGCTGTGTTCGGTGCGGCCGCTTGGCAACCCTGAAAATGAATCATTAGAGCGAGAACGAGAACGAGAGAGTTGCTAAGAAGAAAAGAGGGAGTGCAGTCAGTTCTCAGCATACCAAAAACGCAAACCAAAAAGCCTCGCAGCGAATTTAGCGTTAATTGTGTCTAAAAACCGCCTTTCTTCTTACTCCCCCCACAGTGTGCCCTCGGTAGTAGTGACGGCGGTCTCGAGGAACAGCCAAATCAGGATATTTCCGCTCAAAAAAGCAACAATTGAACGCACGCAACTCGGCGGAAGGAGCGAGCGAGAGAGACAGAGAGAGGGAGCACAAACACCAGCACACATTCACACACGCCAACACACACACACATACACACACACACGCAGTCACTTACACGGCACAAAGGTTATCAACAGCAAAAGCAACAACAACAAACAAATTACTTTAAATATAAAACATATATTAACTAAAAAGCAACTAAAAACAACTGCAACCGACAAGCAATCGCCGAACAACGCCTAAAAACTAGTGATTTTCGAGGGAGAGCCACCTAGAAAGTAAACCCACCTACCTGGCCTACCTGCATTTTGGGTCTCTTCCCTAGAATTTAGCACAAAACAACAGATATACAAAGGATACAGCACAGCAGCCAATATGCGTGAGTACAAAATCGTGGTCCTCGGAAGCGGCGGCGTGGGCAAATCCGCGCTGACGGTCCAGTTTGTCCAGTGCATCTTCGTGGAGAAGTACGATCCCACCATCGAGGACAGCTACAGGAAGCAGGTGGAGGTGGACGGACAGCAGTGCATGCTGGAGATCCTGGACACGGCGGGCACGGAGCAGTTTACGGCCATGCGGGATCTGTACATGAAGAACGGCCAAGGATTCGTGCTGGTCTACTCGATCACGGCGCAATCGACGTTCAACGATCTGCAGGACCTGCGAGAGCAGATACTCCGGGTGAAGGACACGGACGATGTGCCCATGGTGCTCGTGGGCAACAAGTGCGACCTCGAGGAGGAGCGCGTCGTCGGCAAGGAGCTGGGCAAGAACCTGGCCACCCAGTTCAACTGCGCCTTCATGGAGACCTCAGCCAAAGCCAAAGTGAATGTGAACGATATTTTCTACGACCTGGTCCGGCAGATCAACAAGAAGTCGCCCGAGAAGAAACAGAAGAAGCCGAAAAAGTCCCTATGTGTTCTGCTATAAGACTTCCAAAAACCAACAAAACTAAAAAACAAAAAAATATAACAGAGGAGGAGAGGAGAGGATGTAGGGGAGGAGAGAGGAGCAAAAGTATAAGCGTAAAGTAAAGAATTTTCAATTTTTTTTCGTTCTCGTTTCGTTTTGGATCCGAAGGCAATTGTCGAAAATTGAAATAACCAATCTACTATATACAAACAAAACTTAAACTGACAAATGTTTTTAACTGTTTCAAGTTTTTGTAATTATTACCATTTACTACTATTATGATTGTACTATTTTTCGCTGATTAACCATTAATGCATATGGGGAATTATTATATATATATATCTACATATTTAAATATATTTGTCGTTCGTTTTTGAGCCGTTTTTTAAATTATGCAACACGTGAAACATTCGTAAACTAAAACATTCGTATTTATTGATTCTTTTCGATTGTACTCTACACATCTACAACTACTTATACACGAAAAACCCCAACCAACAAGAAGTATATCTTTAAATAGAACCGAAAACCACATTCAAACACAAATCAAATTAAGCTAAACTAAATTGTACGCCTAAAAGATAACAAATTCCATGAGAGAAATGAGCAAATAAATCGAGAAAGGAAATGAAACATGAATAAGGAACATATTTTATAAAAATATTGTATGCAAATGATGTCAAAATGTTGCAAACAACCAGAAGTAACGAGCCCCCTTAGAAATTAGTTTAAAACAAATTTACAAGTAATTGTTTACCACGATCAATTGCATCCAATCTGAAAACCCCACACACCCACACACACACATACCAGCCACATCCCACACACACACATTCGCAGCCACACACTCACACCACACACCGACACATTTCCGGCGCGCTCTCAGAGAGCGAAAAAGCTACGCGGAAGCGGAAATGGAGGCGCGCGGCTCCTGCGGCCGCGGCTCATTTCCGCTTCCTGGTAAGAAGAAGAACCAGAAGTGCAGAGAGCCACAAATTCTAGTATATTTAATACTTAAGAAATGGTTTAACATAAACTGTCGTGTCAATCCCAAAATGAAAAGAAACCTAAAAACGAAGTAATTTACAAATATTTCATAATAAACATTGCATAAACTTCGCGTACGAGTAGTAACCAATATGCCCTTAAATCAAAGTCTAAACACAGCCAACAACCAACATTAAAAATAAATAAAACCTAAGCCCAAGCGTATGTATTAAATATATGATAAAGATACAAATCATTTTTGAACATAATAAACAAACAAACCGTTACAATAACATAATGTAATAATGAGCGTGTGAAAAATGTAATTGAAAAACCATTTTTTCGAACTTGTTTCCCTACTGGTCGCGTTTTTGGGACCACACAGCGCTTCCGATCTCAGAATCCTAACAGTCCCGAATTCGCGACGCAGTAGGTCGACGGGCTCGAGCATCTTTTAATTATTAATAAATGTATTATGTTTATAAAAAATTAAAAAGGAAATGCAAAACAAAATAAAAATTAAATAAATTCATTTATGGAGCGTATGGTTGTATTTTTAGGAGAGACCTTTCAAAAGTCATTTGCCATGAATAACACAACACAGTTTTATTAAAGTTTGGAAATATCTGTATTTGATACTTGGAATAGTTATATAAGGTTGTTATTCAAATATTTATACATATACAATTACAATCAAATAGCTGATCTTTATAATTATAATATTTGGCTAGTTTATAGCACGCATATTAATCCACAGTAAGATCTGCGATAGGATCGGTTCGGAGTTAAGTTGGGGCGTAGGAGTAGTAAAACTGCATTGTATCCACAGCTGATATGGTATGCAAGTTCCGAGAGATTCGCGGGTTGGGATATACAATCATAATTCATGCTTTTCGCAGAAGCTGGCGACGCGCCGGTCAGCAGTTAAAATGTATAAGGTGAAGTTTAAGACTGAATTACGTGGTAGTTGCTATTACTGTACAATAAGTGGCTCGAGTTCCGCTTCATGACTAGGTTTTGGGCTAAGCAAAGTGCTCTACTGGGGGACTCGCCTTCGATTCGTGGTGTGATGCTTGTTAATTAACGCTTTTTATAATCAGTCGAACATGTGAGTGAGTGTGGCTCTCTAGCAATCGCGGCTCAAAAGGGGCCGCCTTAGTATCGATTACAAATAATGCATAAAACTTAACTACGCTAATTTGGCAACAACGAAAGGGTAAACAAAACGTATACAAACAAGGAATATATGGGGGATATTGCACGGTAGGGTAAAAATTGCACTTAAGGTTAAAACTAGGGTAATATCAACGCATCTTTGTGTTGAGATTGGGATAGGAGATTTCGTTCTTGCCTGGAGATTACTTGGGACTGGGGAGATTACTAGCGCACGTGATCGTCACGTTATGGCCGTTGAGATTAGATAACAGAACGATCCGCTTCACTTGCGCAGCTGCAGTTGACCCTGCTGCTGGCTGGCCTGGCTCGCTTGCTGCTGATCACGCTGGTGGTGGTGGTGATCCTCGTCGTCGCTGGGCTCCTCGCGCAGCGGCAAGGAGTCTATCTGCTTGGCCGTGGTCACCTTCTTGTTGCGCTGCCAGGTGAATACACGGGCCATCTGCAGGAACTTCTTGCGCGACATCTTGCCCATGTTCTTGAGCCGCTCCTGGAAGGGTGCGTCGTCCTCGCCCTTGGCCTTGCCGCTCTGCTCCTTCTCCAGGGCGTTCATGAAGTCCTGATTCCAGCGCAGCTGATTCATGAACTCCTCGTTCTGCAGCATCAGGGCGAACTGTTCGTCCGGCAGCTCGAAGTCCTGCTGCCCGGGAGCGGGCGTGATTCGCAGGAAGCCCGCAGGCAGGGGACCCAGGATGGGCGGATTCCAGCGTCGGCTGCGCTTGGTGGGCGTGTTGTTCTGGCTGCTTCCCTTGCTGTTGGCCGCTCCCAGCGGTCGCTGCTTGGGCGAGGCGCCCGTGTTCTGGTGGTTCGGCGAGGCACCGGCTGTCGGTAGCAGGGTACCGGGTGCTCCAGGTGCTCCGACTGCCCCCGCTCCGCCGCCGTCCGTGGTGTCCACCAGCTGCAGGTCTCTGTCCGAGTCGTTCAGGTTGATGAGGCTCTGCTGGGGCGAGACATTAGCATCCAGTTCATTGCGCAGTTTCTCGTTCTGCGTTCGTTAGTGGGTTAGTACAGCATAGACGTTAGTATACACAGGCACCTCCACTCACCTGGTTGTCAATCGACATGGCCAGCAAGGCGTCGATGGTCTGGTCCACGGCCCCCAGGTTCGCCCGCAGGATGGCCTCGATCACCTCGCGGTCGATGTCCGGGAACATCTTCTTGAAGTCGGTCATTGCCTGCGAAAATTCCAGCTGCAGCGTTGACATGATTATTCTTATTTTTATTTTCGCCCCCACAGTCCTATTGGCGGAGCAGTGTGACCAGAGCGAGTATTCTGGGGTTCTACCAAGAAACATGGGGTTCCCACTGGTCAGATTATAGTTGATAAAAATGACTTGGTCCTTAATAGATTGCTATAGAGGGATATTATATCTTACGAACCAGTCAAATAATGATGTGCCTTTAGTTCTTTCACTATAAACAAAATTGTATCGTAAATACGTTTAAATGATTCAAAACTCATACTCCCACAAATACGCATCCTAAAATAAGTGAGAAAAGTTTATTTCATAGTTATGTATCGATGCCCTTAAGTATTTTAAAACATCTTCCCAGCCAGTGCTGCAAATCGGTTAAGTCCAGCTTTGGCGGCAATTCAAACTGGTTTTAAGCGACCGTGTCAATTAAGTCCCATTAAGCGCATTGGTTATAGATGTTTAAAGAAGTTATCCATCAGATGCATCAGTGAAGTAGCCAGCGATGTGGCTCGATAAAAGTCACGTGATTTCCTCAACTCGAGTGCTGATAATTGGGCGGCACGTGTTTGTGGCTTTGTTCCGGCACGCAGTGTCAGTTCAACCGGTCGCGTTTTAATAAGTGTCAATTAGCACTGATATGGCTGCCATTTGATTTGCTATCAGCGCTGGGCGGTGTCCAAAGAGTCCGCTTATCAATATCAGTCGGACAAGTGATGAGCGAGACACCCCCGCCGGATTTGGGTTCGGAATAGAGGTGATGAAACCATAAATTTTAATTTAATCACAAAGTCTGCGGAAGAAGCGTGGGCCACCATCCGATATTCTCGGATCAGACAAGAGGTTTCTAGAGTTCGAATCATCCAATTATAGACTAGACGAAATTAATTGCTGCCTAATGGGACTTTGATTTTAAGACGCATTATACTTGGGGAAATGACTTGGGGGAGATTCTATATATGCAAAACATAATCTTTATAATACGTCGAATTTTTTAATTAACGATTTCTATGTCACGGCACCCCCAAATAATTTGGGTTTTTGTGTGACTTAATCCGGGGACGATGTTGCGTCATTTTTTTGGCTTTTTGGAAAGAAGATTTGCTGAGATACGCGGATGATTAGGTACTCATAATAGATAAGATCAGTGTAGTTATCTCTGCGATGGACATGTGTAAATTTCCATGCTATTTTGGTATGAACTCCGATTTTATTTTTAACTCCCTTGTATGCCCAACCGTTTTTGTGCCAGATTAAAAATCTTTTTTTAGATTTGTGAAAGGCACATCCTACAACGAGTTCTATTTACAAGTGCCCAATTAATCTTAATGTCTCATTAAAAATATTTTATTAAGATTTGTGACAAGTTCACCCTATAATGGGGTATATTTACAGGTACCTAAAATGGGTAAGGAACTCGAATCATGTGATGATTTCCGTTAAATGCCATGAGTTGGCATATGCCACTTGCGATCTCAGCATCCGCTGTTTCAAAACTGCAAATCGACATTGACCCAATTAACATCTGAAATATTCCAGCTAAGTCATGACGGGTTTAATGACCGACAGTAAAAGTAATGGTTCATGTGGGAACATTTTCCGAAGCTCACCCCAGTATTATCATCCCAATACTCAGATTATTCAAAAAACCTTGCGTAAATCACCTTGGAGAACCAAAGCCCTGCTGAGTCAACGAACCGGGCGAGGGAGTAAACCGTAGATAGTAAAATACTTCAGGTTCAGAGATCAAAGTGGTACATAATTCAAGTGATTTAATTTGCTGACACGACGCACCCATATGACCCATTTCCAGTGCTGTAGCGCAGCCACCAACACCAACTATATGGCCCTCTGATCATAAATCTTGGCTTTATCGGTCGATTTGTCAAAAGCGTGGCACGACAAACTCACGAAGATCGGGGCCGAAGGCTCCCACCGACTTGAGTCGGTGCTGCTGGGATCCGATGAGTTAGTTTGCCGCCAAAGTAGAACGCGTTTAGTAGGAATCCGAGCACTCCAAGCGCCTAAACCTGAGATTGTGCCAAAATTAGCAGCGCAGAAATAAAATTACAAAAACTTTTCAAGTGCTCGTGCAATCAGACACCCAACTCCCGCGAAACCCCACCCTTGGCGGGCGGAAATCCAGCCCATCCGAGCCGCCCACACGAACATTTGACTTGTGTCACCTCCGAAGTGGAAAGTCGTCGGTTGTTGATTTGTACCTGTTGATTTACCCTTTTTGCGGCGTCGGTCTTCGAGTGCCTATATAAACAAATGCTCCCAACGGACCTGCGTTTATTCTGCATTGTCACACCTAACGGTTGAGATTCGCCAGCGGAGAGAATTGTATTTTATACAATTGATTTAGAGCCGCATCAGTAATCTATTTAGTGGCATACTATAGCCGGCTGAAGCTTAAATTTGACATATATTTTTAGAACAATTCAGTAAAAAAGTACAGCTACAGTAAAAAGTACAGTTACAGTGAAAAGTGTTAACCGGAACTGCCGGAATTCGAGATCAAGTGTCAAGAACTAGACGTATCTGTCAAAGTTTTCAATTATTCCCAGTGAATTTGGACAAAGGTAAGTTCCACTCACTATTAAATCAAAACTAGAACTAAGTTAGTCAAATCTTTAAGAGTTGAAATTAGTGTATAGTATTATCCTCGAATTTTCTTGAAATTAAAAGAATTATTATTAAAAGAATTAAGTGGAATCATTGACAGCTGAATGGCGCCAAGAAATTTACGTTTGCCTCATTGATAATGAAGCTCTATATGTAAATTTAGTTATTTATACATTATCAGCAGAGGTTTTCAAAACTGTCATTGCGGGCTATTCGATTTTATTTACGTTCCACATACAGAAAATAAGTGTAGTCGTCTTATCAGGGCTGCCAGCGAAATCGCAAAGTTTCAATGGAAAGAGTCGCGTGAATCGGAAGGTATTGCGTAGTTTCACTGAGGAGGGGGGATTCCAACTTAGATTCAGATGCAGATAGCTTTTGTTTACACAGCCCGAGAAGCGAGGAAAAAGAGGGCGTGTCAGCAGATTTGAACCTATTGTTCTTGATAAGAACAAGCTCCTAGCTCCCCAAGTTGCTTGTGGTCCGATATTTTATGACGCTACCAATGACGCACTTTATGGCGGGCAAGTAAAAGAATAAAAACGAAACCCAGCGGTCTTATAATACATACATGTGTATATGCCCATTCCCAGTTGATGATACGATTTGGGTCATAGAAGTTGAGACCCCCAGCCTAGTTTGATTTTTAATATGTCATTGAATTGCTTCGGAATTTCGAGCATAGATTAGCTTTACTTGGCTTGCGCACGAAATGGGTGTGTTATTAGATGAGCTTCTAGAATGTTGTGCATATACAAAATATATAGTGTATGCCAAAATTTGGAATGTACCAGTTCAAACTGGCGACAAAACAACTACAACCATGTGTCTCATAACGTATTATTATTAATCACGTATCTATACTTACGACCGCAGGTGTACGTAATTCTTGCATAAGCTAGAAACTACACTTAGTCAACTCAACTTTGACATCTTGTTATCGCTTATCGGGCACCGCTCAGTTTCAGCTTGTAATAACCGTCATGGAAAACTGTCAAATAAATTCGGATGGGGCCTCCCCAATATACTTACACTCGTAGTTATACCAGTTAGCACTATGTTTATGGGGAAGAGCCACACCCCTGGGTTCAATGGAACCTCTACGCCCGAGGCCTTGGCTCCAATGCCCAAATAGAGATGACTCTTGGCTGGGGATCGCAAATTAGCCACGACACCAGTGCATTATCAGCTTTCGAGGCACTTTTTTTTCAATTTATTGGGCCATTAAAATGCGTTTGGCGTGCGATTACTCTGCGACATAAATTACCGATCGAGATGCGAAAGTCGCTGACACGATCGCCAGAGTTTATCGCTTGCACTCGCTGTGAAAATCTATTTCAGTCAGCAACAGCACATATAGAGAATTCGTTAATTTTTGGTAATAAATTGCAATAAATGGAAAATATGTTGCCAGCTGCCTGGCGCCGCAGAAATCGAGGGAGAGGTATTAATGCTACTATTAAGGGTCATTCTTAATTCGCTTTACAACTTGTTCTACTTCTACTAGTTTGAATCCTGCTCATAATCGAGCCGCCCATTGGGGAGCCCATTCATTCGTTTGCTAACCACCCCAAATGACTTGTAATTTTTAAAAGTCACCAACCATCCTCCCCGCAATGAGCCCAATCCTTATTTGATAATGAGCCCGCCGCTCACCTTTAGCATTCGGGTCACTCCCGCTTTCCGGGCTGGAGCTTAATTAGGCATTAATATTTCATAAATGTCAATTACGAGGGCATAGCCATCTCCTGCCAATCCCACTGATGGCCCGTGCCCGTGCCCGTCGCACCTCAAGTGATGATACTGCAATGTGACCTGAATCCGTGAACTCGCATCAAAAGAAGCCCTCGACTGTTTTTGGATACGCCTGAGAAAGCCAAAACTTTTAACTGGAACACGGCCCCGATTGCATTGAGCAGGCCAACTTGTTGGCCAACTGCAACGTGACTTATTTGAAGTACAAGTACCCAACACCTCGAGTGGGCCGAAACCCCTCGAAACAGAGCATTCACGCATTTTTGCCCAGCCTCAGCCACAATTCGCTTTGTTTTTGCCAACTTGTGTTGTTTGTAATAGGAAACCCTTTGCGTAAGCACTCGAGGGTCCTGGCAGGTCCTGGATATGGAGATGGGGTGCTTGGGTCATGTGTTGCGCGCTGGGTGTTTCTGCCTAATTATTCTGGCCTAAAGTTGTTGCTGTCTACATATTTTAGACTTTCGCTTAAACTTGTGCAGCTGTATTAAAGCTAAGGGCTACGACAATACCTACTTCTCGAGCCACCGAAGTGACCCCCTTTAATGTTTTGATTGATTGTGGATTCTCCGCAGTTGGAATGTCAGCGCTGTCGTCGCCCACCACATGTGGCTGCTCGCCCGTCCACTGGGCCTTTGCCATTGTGCTCCTGTCAATGGCGATTGGGCCGGGAAACGCGATGGCCCGTCCAGCCCGCAACACGCAGTT